ATCGAATGTTACACAATATAAAAAAGATCGACATTTGATTTTATCACCTCGTGATATAACGAATGTCCATTATGCTCTTACCATATATAATAATATAAATATGTGCGGAGCTGCGGAGTAACATGACCAAATTGTTAGGGATGTACGGGTTTTTGGAACTACCCCAAGAGCACCCCGAAAAATTCTGCAGTCACGTGACATTTTGCCGATTTTTCCTAAAATAGAAACGAAAAAAGATTTTTTTTTTGATATAACTTGAAGACGAATCATACATTTTTTAAAATCATAAATTATCCGTAATTTTACATTCTCTACAAGTTTAATTAGTTTCATTTTTGACTTTTTATATATATTTTTCAAAATGTTTGGTTTTGCTAAAAAACGGCATTTAAAACCCTCTTTGGTATTATAAGTAAACTTGCTGAGGAGGAGAAAATACATGTAAATTGTAAATTTAAAGCCGTATAAAGTATATGGGAGGTTTGCTAGGAAAATGGGGGATCTGAGGATTTTTAAATTTTTATTGCAAATTTTAATAAAAAATGCTAAGCCTCATTTTCCTAGTAAACTTAAGTTTTTGAATTAACCATTTTGGGAATGGATTGACGGATTTTGTCATGTGACTGCAGAACTTTTCGGGGTGCTCTTGGGGTAGTTGGATTTTGGCGCGAGGCATGTGACCTTCTACTAACCAAACTATCATAAATGACTCATTTTACAAATCTGTAGAAAATAAATCAACATACTTGTTACCGTTCTTCGCTGATAATACACCTTTCAGTCATCTGTCTCTTCGTCTCTAATAACAAATACTTCCAATAATAATTAGTTACATTTAAAATGTCTTCTACGCGTAGGAGGATTGAAACTGATGTTATGAAGCTGTAAGTAATAAGTTGTTTACATTTCAGACATTGAACTGCTATTTACTCTGCGTTTATACATTTTCAAGTCTCATGAGTGACTATGAAGTTACTCTTGTCAACGATAATATGCAGGAGTTTTATGTTCGATTTCACGGGCCGGAAGACAGTACGTTTATTCCATTCTACTTGTCGGTTTTATTCATGTTTTTCTAATATACAAATACAATCATTTCTTAGCACCTTTTGCCGGTGGTGTATGGAAAGTTCATGTCGAACTCCCTGACCAATATCCGTATAAATCTCCATCAATTGGATTCATGAATAAAATTTTTCATCCTAATATCGATGAGCTGTAAGTTAATTATTTTCGTAAAATATCTTAAAATTTAAATTCGAAGCATTTAATGATCATTTTCATACGTGAATATAGAAGCGGATCAGTCTGTCTTGATGTTATTAATCAAACGTGGAGTCCAATGTTTGGTACGTCACTTTTTTTATAATATAAAATATTTTTAGGTGATTGAGTCGGATTTTGAGCTTTTGTATATTATTTATTTACAAATCGGCTCAAATTTTTATAGATATGATTAATATTTTCGAAGTATTCCTTCCTCAACTCTTGAGATACCCTAATCCAACTGATCCACTCAACGGGGAAGCAGCAGCTCTATTAATGCGAGAACCACAGACATATGAAAGCAAAGTAAAAGGTGGATACAGAATTCAATTTATTTACGAAATCACGTGTTTCATTTTTTTTAACATTAAATTTTCATTCGCATAACTTTTTTATATTAGAATATGTCAACAGGTTTGCCACAAAAGAAGCGGCGGATGCAGCGACAGACGAAAGTTCTTCAGAAGATGATGTAAGTTCTGTAGGTACATATTCAGATGATGAAGAAGTTGCAGAGTCGCTGTAACATGGGTGCATAGAGAATTTCATCGAATTTGCATTAGTGTTAATATTACATGGTTATTCGTTTGTTATGTTTATTTCGTTCGTTTTATCAACAAGATTTTTACTACTAATAAGTTGCTCATATATATCATAGTATAATAGAATTTTCTTTTTTGTTTTCTAATTTTTTTTTTTTTATATTGTTTTTTTTTTCTTGCTTTTACGTTTTATGGTAATAAGCTCTTTAAAGTAACCGTATTTTTTGAGTTTATTTATTATGATAAAAATAAGTTTAAGTGTAGTTTAAAAATTGTCATCTATATATATTTATTCCTTCACTACAATAAATGTTTGTAACATATTTTAATCAAAAAAAAAGACGAAAAAAAAATGTATATTATTAAGGTAATGCCCCCGCGAAATTTGAGTGATTATTTCTCAAAGATCAGTGTAAAGTAACACGATACCACCAAAATTACTTTATTAGTAAAATTAAAATCTTATGACATTTATATTTGTTTAATATGTCAAATAAATAAATATATATATATAAAATAAGTTTAAAAGAAAATTTTTCGGACTAAAAAAAAAAATCAACTTTTTTTAACTTGTATATAGTAAAATATTTATTTTAATGAAAATGTTAAACGAAACTTCTGAAGAAAATTTATTAGAATTTTCGAAAAAAATGTTGGACGCTGCCTTTGGACTTAGTGAGAATAATATAAAAGAAACACCGTCTACGGCCGAAGATCCAACTAGTGTACAAACTTCAACCTTTAGTCCCTTGCCTATTGCGTTAGAGTCTAAAATAAAACCTCGGTCTGAAAAAAAAAAGGTTAAAATAAATATGCCTTCATTTCAAAGTCAGCCTGTTAATGACCATAAGAAACAAGCCTCATCAGATTCGGCAACCTCTTTCAAAGTTAAAAATTCAAATATTTTTGACACTATTAGTGATACTTTAACTAATTTTAATTTAAAAGAGGATACGACCGAGACACCATTAAGAAGTCCAGGGCTCATGGAAATGAGACTAAAGAGGAAGTCAATTATGGTTTCAGAGGAAGAAGACCCAAATTGTTCAGTAAATTCTGATGAACTTCACATTGAAACGGACAATCCATCCCATTTATTCTGGGTACCAGCACATTTACATCCGGAGATAGCTCCAAATGAATTTAGAAAGTGGTTAAAATATTATGCTAAAGATGAATTCAATTCTGGGTTAACATCTTTAAGGAGGCGTAAATCAACTCTTTCTAAGCAATATATTCCTTCAGAAGTTGAAGATGATGAGGAAACAACGGATAACAAGGAGGAATCAGAGAAAAAAAGCTCTGGATTTGATTGGGAATCCTTTGGCGAATCAGATGGGATTATTAGCCATTCTTCTGAATCAACAAAATTGAATATATTACGGAGAAGTCTAAGTTTGAATCTTCCACCGTTTATAGGTAAGCTAATATCATTTTTTTTGTAATTTAATTTAATATTTTTTTTTAATAATAACAAATATTATCGTTCGGAAAAGAACGATGATATTTTTGACTTATTTATCTTATTCATTCATTCATTAATTTATTATATATTGCCAAGAAACTAATTATTTTTTCGTTTGTCAAATATTTCATTGACCGACTGACCTGTCCCATATTATTTATACGTATTTTACGTGTATTTGTTAATTTTGATAATTGATGGTGACATTATAATAACAACTTAAAGGAGGCACAATTTCTAATCCTAATGATCCAAATATATTTGATCGACATTCGTCTCCTGATGTGGACTCAAAAATTCTTGTACCAAGAATGGCTCCAGCGCTTAAACGTACCGCACGTACAAAAATTCGTCGAAATTCTGTTGCTGGAGAACAAAATCCTAGAAGATTCTCAGCACATAGAAGAACAAGATCTACACATGTATCTTCTGATAAAAGAAAACGGTCTGAAGATAAAATAATGTCAAATATACCAAAAAAAAGATCAGAATCCGCTCTTTCAATTCCTTTTATCCCACCACAAGTTGATACTGAAAAAATAGATATGAACTTTACTGATAATTATAATATAATTTCTAATGAAATGGTTGATGAACCTGAAGAAATATCAAATAACATTGAGCTTGATTGTATTGATGTTAAAGATGGTATGGGACCCATACGTATTGTATTAGAAGACAATGATCCTGAAGCCAACGTTACTCCATCTCAAAGAACGAGCTCGTTATCATCAGATGCAGATCATTCATTCAGTAAGTTAGGGGTAGAACCTTCACATGACAAATCAAATTTATTACAAGTTGACACATCTATACAACCTGGAACTGCTTCAACGACTCCACCAACATCACCAGCATCACCAACAACGGCACAGGCGTCAACAAAACGTACTTCTGCATGGTCATGGTTATGGTCCGGAGGGTCAGAGGAAAAATTAAAAGAAGGTGAAAAAGATAAAGAGGAAAAGAAAGAAAAGGAATCAAAGCCTAAAAAGAAAGAGAAAGAAGGTGAAAAAGATAAAGAGGAAAAGAAAGAAAAGGAATCAAAGCCTAAAAAGAAAGAGAAAGAGAAAGAAGGTGAAAAAGATAAAGAGGAAAAGAAAGAAAAAGAACTAAAGCTTAAGAAGAAAGAGAAAGAGAAAGAAGGTGAAAAGGATAAAGAGGAAAAGAAAGAAAAAGAATCTAAACCTAAAAAGAAAGAGAAAGAGAAAGAAGGTGAAAAGGATAAAGAGGAAAAGAAAGAGAAAGAATCTAAACCTAAAAAGAAAGAGAAAGAGAAAGAAGGTGAAAAGGATAAAGAAGAAAAGAAAGAAAAGGAATTAAAACCCAAAAAGAATAAATTAGATAAACCAGATAAAGTTGAAAAGACTGAAAAATCTGAAAAATCTGACAAAAATGACAAAAATGAGAAAGAGAATAATGATTTAGCAGTTAAAGAAAAGGATAAAGAGAAATCACCGAAAATATCACTTTCATCTATTTTTTCATGGCCTTCTCAGAATAAGGGGAAATCATCGGAGGATTCATCAACAACCACAATATCCACTACACCTTTACCACAACCTACCACTCCAAACAAGAAAACAAAATACACAAACTATAATCGTCTTCCGATTCATGTAGAACGTGCAATCTACCGTCTTTCGCATATTAAACTCGCAAATCCACGACGTCCATTGCACGAACAAGTGCTCATTTCCAATATGATGTTTTGGTATTTGTCGTTAATAAATAAACAACAAGTTGAAAATGGAGAAGGTGGTAATCCAAATGCTGAGATGGCCGTACAGATAGTGAAAAGTAAGGTAGGTAAAGAGAAAGCTGGTCGCAAACGAAGAAAAGGAGAAAAGAAATCGGGTTTAACAAGAAAAGGAGCAGGATCTAGTGCAGAGATAGCATATAAAGCTCCACAATATGACATGAATCTAATACCGCTGTCAAATGAATTTGAAGAGGTATCTGCAGAAGATTATAGTGATAATGATTATCAAAGTGAAGAAGAGATCAAAACACATAGTTATCAGTATTATAATGATGAATATCTTTCCGATGGAACTGATGGTGGATATCTTGATGAGACTAATGGAAGGATTGAAAGTAGTCATGGTGGAGATTTATTAAATTCTAGTGCAGAATTTGATGATAAAATAGGAGAAAGTAGTAGTGGAGATAAAAATATCAAGAATTACGTTCGATCATCTAATGGACGATCAAAATCACCAACTGGCAAAAGACCATCACCCAATGGAAGGTCAACTTCTCCAACTTCAAAAAATCGTAACCCAGTTTCATCAGATGTGCAAAGAAAATCAGTGCCACCGTCCAATACTCGTAAATCCGTTAATGTATTAAGGAATCGCGCTTCGAGTGCGGGAATGAGACCTCATAATAAAATCCCTTCAAAAATATCAATAACAAACTCAATAGCAGATGATGAAGATGATGATGTACCCCTTGGACTTTACAAAATTTCGTCTAATGCAAAGTAAGAAAATATTTTGAGTTTTAGTTGATAATTTTAAATTAATGTTAAGTAATTAATTAAATTACATTTATTTACGTAAGTGGGAAGCTAGAAAAGTGAATTATTATAATATTTATTTCAATATATTTTTGATATTTTATTAGTTATTAAAGCTCAATCATTATTATTATACAAAAAATAATAGCAATAATACAGTAGATTATTCTGGAATAGTCTATCTTTATTTATATACACATTGTAATTATTATTATTATTTTATAATTATTTATATATTTTTTTTTTTTAAAAAAAAAAACTTCACTATATATACAAAATTCTTTTGTTTATAATTATATTTTTTAAAACTTGTAGTTTATTTTATTCTTTATGTTTATTTTTTTTTTATTATAATTCAAAGTCTAATTTATGTTAATAAAAAAAATAATGTGTAATATTTTGAATATGTTAAAATTGTTGCGATTACACAATATCTGATTTCCAAGATGAAAATCAGATATACCAATTTAAGAATAAATATCGGAACTTTTTTTTTGATTATTAAAGTTACACGGCAGAAACGGCAGACAAACAATCAACGATAACTCGGAAAATTTAAAACCCGATATAAATAAAAATGAAATCATAATTACTAAATTAGTATTCTAAATATAAATCTTATTATGATCTGTCAGTTAATACAACTTTAATATTGTAAATAAATAAAACTGATCTCCTCTCTGCAGATGTAATTTCAAAAAATGATTATCAGCTGAAATTTATAGTTTCACAATTATTATCTATTAATACTAATATCTATTAATACTAATAAAAAGATAGCCTTATAAAATCAAATAAATGAAAAATTACGAGGATTTAAAATATTTGAACTTAAAAGAATTTTCGTGACATTTGATATAATATCAAGTATAATTATTTTTTTTTTTTTTTTTTTTAAATGTGCGGTAGTATCGCAAAATCTTTATTGAAATGATAAATTTATACAGAAGTAC